CACACACACCACACAACGCACACACCACACACAATGTACACACATACATACACCACACATTCACATATCACACACACATACACACCACACACATACACACACCACACACACACACCACTTACACATACCACACACACACCACACACACACACCACACGCACGCACACACACTGCACACACCACACACGTACACGCACTGCACACACCACACACGCGCACACACACACACACACACACCAGACCACCCCATCCAGCAGCCGAGCCTGCTGTTTCCCACCCAAAGCGCACCACCGTCAGGACCCCTCTACCTTTCTGACACACACATTGCTTCTGATCTCTTCCCATCACTCAGTGCTCCTGCTTGTGTGACAGCCATGGTGTCCTGCCTGGCTACACTTGATCCTTGCTCACCAGAGTCCAAGGTCAACACAGTGAGTCCAGGAAGGGGCACCTCGCACCACAGCCCTATGAGAAACCTCCCTGTGGTCCTTATCCCACCTAGATGGACTTGCTTCAACTCACTCCAAGACTTCTTTCTTTCTTTATCTTAAACAAGAAAGATGTCTGGAGACATAGTTTCAAATGTCAGGCTGGCCTCAAATGCACTGTGCAGCTGAGGATGACCTTGAACTTCTGATCCTCCTGCCTCTGCCTCCCAAGGACTGGAATTACAGACGTGCACCACCACACATGAGTTCCTTCCTTCCTCTCTTCTTTCCTTCTTACATTTATTTTATGGTGTGTGTGTGTAGCAAGTGTGTGTGTGTGGTGTGTGTGTGTGATGTGTGTGTGTTATATGTGTGGTGTGTGTGTGATACGTGTGTGATATGTGTGGTGTATGTATGTGTGTGTGATGTGTTGTGGGTGGTGTATGGTATGTGTGTGTGATGTGTGTGGTGTATGTATGTGTGTGATGTGTTGTGTGTGGTGCATATGTGTGTGATGTGTGTGTGTGAGATGTATGTGTGGTGTGTGGTGTATTTGTGTGTGTGATGTGTGTGTGGTCAGAGGACAACTAGCAAGTGTGTAAGGCAATCAGAGAACCTTTTGGGAGTCAGTTCTCCTTCTACCCACTTAGCTGCTTCACGGTGACTTTGAGACATTTATTTAATCTTCCTGACCCTCAGTGTCCTCATTTGTTACGAGCAATGGTGTATCTCAGCCCTTCATCTCACACAGCCAGCCTTCCCTGAATGGGCAGCACATCTTGCTGGCACCACAGTGGTGACCCAGTCCAGTGACAGACGCCAGAACACAGTCACCCACACAAGTGCTGATTTACAAAGCCCACATACGGAGGTCAAAGGACAACTTGCACAAGTCAGCTCTCCCTTGATCATGGGGTTCTGGGGATTGAACTCGGGTCGTCACGTTTGGCAGCAAGCACTTTAATTTTTTTAATGTGCGTTGGTGTTTTTGCCTGCATGTGTGTCTGTGTGAAGGTGTTGGAACTCCTGGAGTTGCAATTACAGACAGTGGTATGCTGCCATGTGGGTGTGGGAATTGAACTCAGATCTTCTGGAAGCTGCAGCCAATGCTCCTAACTGCTGAGTCATCTCTTCAGCCTAGGCAGCAAGCACTCTTACTGATTGAATCCTCTTGCTGGTCTAAGGTTTTCCTTTCCTTTTCATTTTTTTGTTTGTTTGTTTTGTTTTTGCTTGTTTTGCTTTGTTTTATTTTTGTTTTTGTTTTCTTGAGACAGGGGCTCTCTTTGTATCCCTGACCATCCTGGAGCTCGAAATATAGACAGGCTGGCCTGAACGCACTGAGACCATTTTGCCTCTGCCTGTCAAGTGGGATCAAAGGCGTTCGCCACCACGCTGGGCCTCTTTTTCTTTTTACCTCACAGTCTCATGTGGTCCACACTGACCTTGAACTCACTGTGTAACTGAGGCTGACCTTAAACCTCACTCTGATCCTTCTGCCTCTGCTTCTTGAGTGCCCAGGTTTAGTCGGTGCTGGGGATGGGACCCGGGGCTCTGCACAAGACTAGGTAAGCACCCTATCAAGCTCCACCCAGTGACACCCCAGCTTCGAGGCCCTGGAGTGGAGGGAAGAGAGAGATGCTGTAGGGGTGCCTAGAACAGAAATAGGATACTCACTAGATAAATCTCAGTGGAAGATTTCCCTACCCCATCTATTCTAGAGGAACAGCAGAGGCCCAAAGAGCAAGCGAGAGATGACAGGACCAGCTCCTAGGATGGAATACTTCCTATGTGAAACCATCAGGGAAGACAAGGTCCTTCTGCCCTGCCTGCTCTACCACCCAGCCTGCTGACTGACAGACAGACAGACCTGCAGAGCTCCGGGGATGCAGGAAGCTGCAGGCTTAGCCCACCCTGTCTTCTCCAAATTGGGAAGAAGGTTAACATGGCTATGGGAAAATCACACTCAGGAGCATCTGGATTCCCAGCAGAGAGGTAAGAGCACTCACCAGGGCAGACCGAAGCTGCTGCGTGTCTCTCCCTCTCAGGAACCCAGCGGGACAGAGGCCACATTGGGCCACGAGGACCTAGAGAAGAAAAAACGACAACTCAGTCAGCAGAGCTAAACCAGCCCCAAGGCCAGGTGCACATCAAGGTGGCTGTCTTTGGGGCGCCTAAGAATATACCTCTCCACGTTCCCACCCTGGGGGAATGTCCCCCTTCTTTCAGTTAAGGGGTTGCAGTCTTGGGACATCACCAAAGGACCCTACACCTTACCAACAACATAAGGCACCAGTGTCCCTAACAGAAGTGACTCAGAGGTGACCAGGCGTGGCTCTAGGGACACTAAGCTGAGTGCTGGATTCCTTCTGACCCGTTGGGTGGCCTGGGTGGCCCCTGGGTCAAGGACAGCACAGCAGGAATGTCACAGATAAGCTCCCCCCACTCCCCACCGCCATTTTCACAATTCCTGCTTTACTGCTCCCAGAGGTTAAGCCCGGGTCTCTCACATGCTAGCCAAGTACTCTATTGACTGGGTTACACCCCCAGCCCTTTATAGTTTTGTTGTTTTTGTGTTTGTTCTGGGGGGGGGCTTTTCAGTATCAAGACAGGAGCTCACAAAGTTACCCAGGTGGCCCTGAACTTTTGGTCCTCCTGCTTCTGCCTCCTGAGTAGCTGGAATCTCAGGCACACACCAGTTCCATTATGCAATTTTATCACGAGTCCACCCTTTCTGACTCCCTTTGGAAGAAAAGCCAAGTGTGTATGTTTAAAAGAAATTGCTTATGCTGCTTGTTAATGTGAAATAACCAAAATTTGCCCAGTATGGTTTCACACATCTTTAATCTCAGGGCTTTGGAGGCAGAGGTAGAGGCTGACAGATAGAGCTCTGTGAGTTCAAGACCAGCCTGGTCTACATAGTGAGGTCAGGAACTACATACCATGACTGTCTTAAACAAAAACAAAAAACCTGTCATTCAGGGGCAGCCGAGACTCTTGGAGACTCTGAATGTGCCATTTACAAGATTTGGGCTGCAGGACAAGGTGACCTTTAGATCACAAATGGTTGATGGATGGGGCACCGTATTTCAGACGACTCAAGACATTGAGGCCACTGCCCCATCTTAGGGGACTTGAGATGTTACCCAAGGAAGAAATGTCAAAGCAGCATTAGAAAAAAGCGCATGATTTGAACATTGCAGTGGAATGCTTTTCTCACATATAACCGCAGCGCCGTGTGATTATGCTGTTTGCTCAGAGTGCTATAAAAACGCACCAGGCCCAGGAGGACGGCCCCACCCCCAGCACACAGACAGCCCCACAGAGAGATGCCCAAGAACACAAGGCTCGGGGGTGCACAGGAACTGTGCAAAGGGGGAGCTGAGCCCCAGGACTGGACCACTGGACCTGTCTGCTGCCAATGCTTCCTACTCAATAAGGAGAAGGAGCAACCCCAGTCCTTGTCCCCTTCTAGTGATGAAGTGCAATGCTATTGATTCTCTCTCTCTCTCTCTCTCTCTCTCTCTCTCTCTCTCTCTCTCTCTCTCTCTCTCTCTCTCTCTGTCTCCATAAGACCTGGTTGGTCACAGACTCACAATCCTGCCAGGCTTGGTGGTTCAAGCTTGTAATCCCAGCCGCTCAGAGGTCTGAGATGGGAGAACCGTGGCTCAGGGTTTGCCTAGGCTACACAGTGATTTGCAGGCCAGCCTGGGCTACTCAGCGAGACCCTGTCTTAAAATAAAAATGAAACAATAAACAAGGGTCCGGAAACACAGTCAGTGGTAGGGAGTGCTTGCCTACCATGGGGCGGTGCTGCAAAACTTTCCCTCTCCCTGCCTTCATCTCTCAAAAGCTAGGATGCAGGAACGGTCCACCAAGCTCTCTCCATCCCTGTCGACCCAGGGCCTTCTGCAAACCAGAGAAACACTATCAACTGAGTTACACTCCGTGCCTAGCCTTCCTCGATGCATTGACTTAGGCATTTATTTGTTAGTTAGCTTATTTGCCGTGAACGTGAGGGCGCTGTGAGCGCAGAGTTGAGAGGATGACTTGTGGAAATCAACCATCTTCTTCCACCGTGTGGGTCTTAGGGACCAAACACAGGCCAGCAGGCTTGGTGGTGATTTTACCTGCTGAGCCGACCCTTTCCTGCTGACTTTTTTTTTTTAATCTGGAGACAGGGTTTCTCTGTGGCTTTGGAGGCTGTGTCCTGAACTCTCTGTGTAGACCTCAGACTCACAGAGTTCTGCCTGCCTCTGCCTCCCGAGTGCTGGGATTAAAGGTTTGGGACACTGCCACCTGACAAAATATATTTTTAAAAAGGAGTTAAAAAAAAACACCCAAAACTGGTTCACAAGACAGGAGTTGGTGGTGCACGCCTTTAATCCCAGCACTTGGGAGGCAGAGGCAGGAGGATCTCTGTGAGTTCGAGGCCAGCATGGTCTACAGAGCGAGTTCCAGGACAGACTCCAAAGCCATGGAGAAACCCTGTCTCGAAAAAACAAAAAAACAAAAAAACAAAAACAAAAAAACAAAAACTGGTTCACTTATTGGTCTCATTTAAGGTGACTCTGTTCAAGTTTCTTGGTCGTTTCTCTGCAACACTGCCAAGGTCACCTAAAGCTACCCAGATCTCAGCAGGGGTCTGGTCACTCTCCCGCAGTGCGCACAGGCGGCTACAGTGCAGGCTCCCACTCCGACCTAAACCGGAAGTGATCAGATGTGACCATCCAACTCAGCCGGTCACAGTCTGTAAGTGTGTGTCATCACACAGAAGCAAATGGGCTGATTTCTAGAGAATCTCAATAATCCACCCCCCACCCCCTCAACGGATCATCAAGGAGCGTGGACGACGAGGGACCATTTGAGAGAAACAGGAACCTCTGGGGATGCAAAAGTGAGCTGAGACTCCTCCCAGCACGAGCCTCCAAAGAGGCAGGTCCTTGAGACCGAAGTTGATGGGATAAAAATGACACCAAAGCCTGGGCCGGATTCCTGTGGTGTCCGTGTCTGCGCTCGTCTGTCTTTGGTGATATTCTGTAAGTCTGGGATAGACAGAACCCTGGGGGGGGGGGGGGCCGCGGGAGCTTGGGGGGAGGAGCTTGGAGGTGGGGGGCGGGGTGTCACCAAAAGCTGAGTTTTGCTTTTGCCAGACCCTACAAAATAAGAGACCTTTCTTGGGAATATTGCTACATTTCCAGTAATTGCTGATACACAAATGACAGGTTGGATCGGCTCGAAGATACAAGAACAGGCTGAGAAATCCCCACAGAAAAACACTCTATATTGCAAAAATAAGACTAGGATGGGCTCAGAAGATGGCACAGGTACCAACACTGCTCTGAAAAATTCAAAGCGAACTTCTTGTTCTTATTAATTGGCAGAAAAAAATTGAAACAATTGTCTGCTTCAACTCACCCGAGCATGGAAAACTGAAGACCCCTTTCTTGCAAACCGTCTTGCCAGGCTGAGCGGCGGCTCCATGTCTTTCCAGTGTCCTTGGGAGCCACCTGCTGGGCAAAGACGGAATTACAGCACTAATAACCAGACTGAGAGCCGCCAGACCCAAGTGGCCCTGATTTTCCAGAATCGCAGAGGAGGAACTATAAAAGCAGCAGAATGGCTTCTCCCCTTGGCGCATTGCCCGGTGACAGTTGTAAACCAGGGGCGCTGCAGAGGCGCTCACAGGGAATGAAGCAGAATTGCCTCGTATCTGCCCGGCTTTGCGCACGGTTCTTAGGATCCCGGGCCTGAGTCCCCTCCAGATCCCCAATTTCTTTACCTTGTCCTACTTCATCATTGGGGCACCTGGTGGGTCCAGCGCTGATGATCTCATTCTTACTCCATATGCCAGGTTGGAGCATGTCCTAGGGGATCCCAGGTCAGCCCTGAGACTCCTGTGTCCTTGGGAAAGTCAGCTGTCTTCTGGGTCTTGCTATCTTCACCTCCAACCTCAGCTCAGGGCTCGGGTGGATAATATCCAGAGATCTTCAGGTTTTGTCTATAGAGTGTCTGCAAAGTTACTGTGCTTTGGGCCTCAGGGTTAAAGTTTAAGTGCATAAAAGGAATGACAAAGCCTGATTCTGCGTCAGATCTGCAGAGGAGAGACAGCAGGGACACTACTGAGATGTGCAGAGGACAGGGTGTGCTGCCCCTGGCCTTGGATCCCACTAGCAGCGTGGTAATCCCCCTGACTCCGAGGTCAGCATGCTGCCTCTTCACCAGGTAACCTCTACCAGCATCCCGTTGCCTGCTGGAAGCTGGCCTCCTGTAGCTCTCAGCTCTCCCTTACACCCTAGTCTGTGGAGTGACCACTTGGGTCTGCCTGAAGTGTGCAGCTCCTCTGGAGAAGCCACCCCACCCCGTGTCCTTGGCAGGGAGATACAGCCGCAGTGCTGTCCTGTCCTGGGATGAACACCAGGGTTCCTGGTGTCAGTTCTTGGGACAGCCACAAGCCTGAGTAGTCCCTAAAACTGATGACATCAGCAAAGGAAAGAGCAGGGTCTGCTGGCCCTGCTACCCCGGCTACCCCAGTACCTTCTCCCCACAGGGTGATGCAGGCCTCAAGGGCAGTCTGTGAGGTGGAAGGCAGACAGCCGCAGAGCAGTGACTCTTCCGGCATTAAGTTCAGGGTCCAGGACATCGACAGGCCCCCGTCTCTAAAGTATCTCACAACTGTGAGCAATCCCACAAGAGCCAGCTGTCCTGTGTGCAGCCTGCTATGACTTCCCACATTGGCTGGGAGACCAAACTTTCACCAGGAATGGGCTCCCGGGTGACAATTTCAAGCTATTTGTCTGATTAAAGACTTTCTCCACCGCCTTCTACTCTGGGTAGAAGATTCTGCCTGGACCTCTGAGGTTTCCCTCTCTGTTTCCAGGCCCTCAGTTCCTGCCTCTTAAGCCCATTCCATCACCCAAGAGGGCCGGCAGCTACCAGACCCCACCCACATTCGCTGGGCTGCTTTCTCTCTACAGGAGAAGCCAGACTTCATGTCCAAGTTCAACCCTCTGCAAACAGACTACACGCCACAGGGCGCAGAACCCTTTCCCACCACTTCCAAAGTATTTCTCGCCACAGACTGTCTCAGAAATGCCAAAGGAGAACATCCAAGGATAGGATCACAGGAGGTCCCTTCACCTCACCTATAACATGTCTGAATTGGAAACCCATCCTTACCCCCCAAAAAGAAAGCCGTCTTGTCTTCCAAGCGGGCGTCTCAGAACAGAAGATCCAAAGCCGATGGCCGGACACAGCTTCCCTGGTCTGGTCCCAAGCCCTCCTAACCCTTCTGAGGGTCTGTCTCGTTCTCGACTGGAGTTCCCTCAAAGCACACCATGCATTTGGGTGTGCAGTCCCAAAGCAGCTGTGGAAACGGTCGGGCCTAGGATGCGCAAAGCCAGCGGAGTTAACAGTCACCAGGCGCAGAACTGCTCATTTATCATCCTCCCGTCGCTGGGGAGGATTGCCTCCTGCCCCAGCCCTCTACTCTAGTGAAGTATTGTCTTCCAGAAAAGGTGGTCTAAATAAAGCCAGGGACTCACTCTCTGCACCAATCAGCGCCGCCGTCCGGTCGGGTCTACCCGGCGCGGGCTGCGCGCAGCCGCCAGGAGGTGGCCGTCGGGACGCGGTGCGGGCAGAGCACTGCTCCCGCCCGCCCGCCCGCCCTGAGCAGTGGTGCAGGGTCTCTGCATCGCCGCCGCTGCTGCAGCCCCGCAGCCGTCAGCACTGCTGACTTGGCCCAGGAGAAGAGGGCGGGGGTGGGGGGTGGGGGGGGAGGGCCTGCAGCAGCCTGGGTTCCAACTGCCCCTGCGCAAGGAGCTTGGGAGAGTCTAGCTTCAAGGGCTTGGCTGGCCAAGGCTGGGGTAGAAGAGCTGGAGAAAAGGACCCTGAGTCAGCGCTGGTGCAGTTGAGGTGTCCCAGGAGCCTGGGTACAGGATGGATGGCTCCCTCTGACCTGTGAGCAGAGAGTACAGCCTTCAGCATCCTACTGAACCCCCCCCCCCACACACACACCTGATTCAGGGAAACTGTGCTAGCCTCATTTCCCCTCATTAGCATTGCTGTACTATAATTCACTGTTCTGAGGATTCCGGATGATGCAGAGAGAGAGAGGGAGAGATTCACAGAGAGACAGAGACAGACACACAGAGAGACAGAGACAGAGAGAAACAGACAGACAGACACACACACACACACACACACAGGGGGAGGAGAGAGAGAGAGAGAGAGAGAGAGAGAGAGAGAGAGAGAGAGAGAGAGAGAGAGAGAGAGAGAGAGAGAGAGACTTTTCCAGTTCTACTCAGACCCTGGAAGTCCCCACCTGGAGCGCTGGGTGAAGATCTGAGATCTGAGAGCCCCCAAGCCAGCTGGTCTCTCAAAGGGGTCACTGGGGGGTGTGGAGGTTGTCACCACCCGTACTGTATTTTCTGTCTGAGGAAGCTGTGAGACACAGGGCTCTTGGGGCCAGCTCTCCCCTCTGCAGTGGCTCCCTGGTCCTGCTGCTGAGACTTAAGGGTGTTCCAAGACGCAGGGTCTAGGCAGCCCCCGCCCCTGTCTGTCTCTGAAGGTGCTGTGTCCCCTCTGCTACATCTTCCCCTCCACCAGGCTGGTGTGGTCACTTCAGCCCTGACACTGTCTGTCTGAGGCAAGCACCTCTTGCAGTAAGACACTTACAGATGCCAGGTGACTGCCCCATTGTTCGTTTGACACTGGCGGTATGCACTGGCGGTCCGGCTCACAAGCCCTAACAGCAACAGAATGCTGACCACTGGGTCACCTGCTCCCACTGCAAACTTCTGTCTCATCTGATGTCCCTTTAGGAGGCTAGTGGACAGGCACAATGGTGGCCCTTGCTCTGCAGCGGATACCTGCAGGCTTCTCCCTTGGCTAATTACCCATAGAAAGGGCACCCATTTGTCATCCATGCTGCAGGAAGGCACAGAATGGAGAATGGTTTTGCCTGGCTATACCTGCTCCATTCTCTCCCCACCCCTACCCCCTACCCGCCAGTCATTGGTGAGGTCACAGAGATGTTCATCTCACCAATGAGGGGAAATGATCAGCCCAGAGCCAAAGGACACGCCCCAGTAGCTTCTGGGGTTGTAGGGCGGAGCCGGGTGGAGCTAGATTTGGGCCTAGTGATATACAAGTGTGGTCCATCATAGGACCACAGGATGCTGACCTCAAAAGACCCTGGTGTGGGGGATTCTGACGTTATGTACGAATGCACTGGGCTGCCTCAAAACCAATTGCACCAAAGATATTTGCCTGAAGAATTCCAGTTGTTGATTAATGGGCAGAAATTAAAGACGGTTTTGAATATACAGGGACTACATTTTGGAAAATGGACCAAGGAAGTAGTCTGGAATGAGAACGAGGAGTGTGCACAAAGCCATAGGCCGTTGTGTTCAACCCCTAGTGCTTTTCCAGGCAGGAGAAGTATGCGGCCCAACACCCCATAAAATATTTGTCTGGAGGTGAGCATTTCCCTGAAGACTGCAGCATGTGGGGTGAGCAGGGTGCCTGCCAGCAGACCCCTGCAGAGTGCAAACCCAAGAACATCATGCAGGCACCTGAGGAGGTCACCCACCTCCATCAGCTCAGCAGTTAATGCCCAATTGCTGTTTCAGAGGCTGCCCGGATAATTTATATCTGAGAGGTTTGCTGCATAAGCTTTTGAACTGAAGTTTGATGAGACCTGGAATTTTTCCTCTTGGTCAAAAGAGGAACCAAGGAACTGAGTCCTTCAGAGGGTCGGACAGATGTCACTGGTTGGCACTTTGCGACATCATGCCCATTGCAGACCTGGACCCAAGTACTGAGTGTCTGGGATGCCACGCCAGCAGTACCAGCCTGGAACTCTGCCAGCTGGCACCTCAGCTTTGGGGTGGCGCTCTGGCTGGGCGCACAGAAGTCTGGGTACCAGAGACACAGCTCTGGTATCTCAGGGTGCTTGGACCTTCCCCAGAAAGAACCGATAACCAGAGTGCATTTCATCCTGTTCTCTGTGCAGGTGAGTGCATCTTGGTGAACTCTTCATGGGGTACCCTCCCCCCCAAGCACCCACCATTCGGCACTCGCTGCCAACCAAAGGGGTTTCATCCTTTCTTTCATACGTAAGCCTCTGCCCCAGGTACAGCAAATCATTCTGTTTGAGTTTCCCTCCAACGCTCCTCTCAGTAAATCCAGGAAAAATAAAACCTGTACCCTCTGCGAACAGGCCATGAAGGCTGCCTTTGCGTCCCCGGGACTGAAGATGATCACAACAGCCTAGACCAGTCTGCCCCAGCAGCTCTGCTGCACATGTCTTAAAGAGCCAGCGGGCCACGCTAATACACAGGCGGCAGAAGCAGCGCACCCAGGCAGGACTGAGCCCAAACTCATCAGGAAGTCCACAGGGTCCCCGCCCCCAGCGTGTGAGAAAGAGACTAACAGCTTTGGGTTTGCCTGGGGCTGAGTGCATCCCAGGTCAAGGTACCCAACGAGCTGACCCATCCAGGAGTGGGCACCCCTTTTCCTCCCCCACCCCACCTCCAGCCGCCTCCTCCTACTGCAGCCACTGCTGAGGTTCTGCAGTCACTTGAAGGAGAAAGATTTCGCAGTACGGCATTCTTAAAGCTGCAGCGTCCAAATTCTCCTTCAAACCCCAGCTGTCCCCGACATCAGCTTACTTACCGGGTCCTCTGCAGAGGATGGGCGGGCAAGGGGATGAGGCTGTTGGGGGGAGCTTGGTGGGGATCAGACGCCCAGACTCTGGCAAGGGTAAAGAGAGAGGAGACTGTACCGAGAGCCTCTGCAGTTAAACCAGGTTGCTGGGACTGCAGCAGAGACCGCAATGGAGTAGTTTTTTTTTTAATCATAACCCCCCACACACACACCGTGATTTCCCCCACAAACTTACATTTTCTGCAGCTAATTAAAACGCAAGATGCACACACGTGAAACCCACACGAGAAAGCATACCTCTCTGCCTTTTCACCCCAAAGAGTTTAAATAGCATTTAAAATTATTTTTAAATTGACTCCCGCGAGCAACTGACTCAGCTTTCTCTATGCTGCTCGGCGGCTGGCAAGCCATGCAAGGAAAGAGCCTGGATGGAGTTCATTGAAGCCAGAGTTTCTGCAGAGCGCAAGGAGACAGGACTCCTGCCCCTCAGGGAAAGGGATGTGATTGAACCGATGTAACTAGCACCCGGCAAGAGCACACCCATGCCCAAAAGTTACCTTTCTCTCCTGCTCGGCTGCCGGCGGCTGCTCTGCAGAACTGTCCCGGTGGCTGGCAAGTTGCAGACTGCTGCAGGAGAGGCAGGACCCGAAATCAAAGTGTCAGCTGGGTGCAGGAGTGAAGATCTGCAGGCGGGGCTGGCCGCCCCCACCCCTGCCCAGTTTAATTTACCCCCCCCACACTGCAGGATGCCCACTCCTATAGGCATGTCCAATGCCTTCTCCTCCCCGCATGCCAGGACTTGGGCTTTGTCCTGCCCTCTAGGTTGGCTTACCGGGAGATGATGAAGATGAAGAGGAGAAGTTGGTGGGGGGGGGCTCTTTGGCATCTTGAAGCTTAATTTTTCAGAAAGGGTGGGACCTGTTTCAGATTTGCAGCTTGATGTCCAGAGCTGAGGCAAAGGTGAGAGTCTGTTGGCATCAGACAGGTGCTTTCTCTCCGAAGGGGTCCAGGTAGAGCAGATAGAGAGCGGCCAGCTCCTCTCTGCACACCAGCACATTCTCAACAGTTTGGGAAGCACCTGTTTTTTTGCATGTCTGCTAAAAAAGAAACATTTCGAAACATGTGCAGCGGTAAAAAGGAGGCAGGGACCGCCAAGTGTTAGTTTTATCCCGAGGACGGCTCCCTAAAGTTTGCGCTCCCCGCCTCTGCGCTCGCTAGTCAGTATCATGGAGGATTGAGGCGGGGATTTAATTGAGAAAGTTCCAGGAGAGAATGCACTTTAAATGCAGATATGGTTAAATAGCTCATTCCGCTATAACCCACAGGGGACTGCTCAGAACAGACACACGGAGAGATTGCAGAGGGTGAGGGGATGTAGGTATGCTCAGGTTTTGAATTTATTATAAACTCAAGAGTATGAGAAAGGACACCGAAGGAGAAAGTGCACATGTATGTCTCTCTGTCTGTGTGCGTGCGTACACACACGCACACGTGCGTGCGCGCACACACACACACACACACACACACACACACACGTGCACACCCCAGGACAGTAGAGTAAAACCCAGTAGGAACAATTGCACCAACTCTGTGTCTGCTTCAGCCCTGAGGTAAGAAGCCAGGAGGGGCTGCTCTGGTGGAGCCTGCAGCCTGGCAGGGCACAGCCATGCTGCTGCAGTGCACCATGGCCAGCGGGTACCGCCTGGTGCCCACGCCCTCACCCACCTTCCTGGCTTGAGGCTTTGTGCAGCATGAGCTACACTGGAGGATACAGCCCAGGACCACCCTCACCCGAAGGCCCTCCCTCTTCTTCCTCACCGCACTCCCTCCTGGCTGAGGGGAGAGAAGCCGCAGAGGCCCCCTGAGACGCCTGTC